AAAAAAAAAAAGAGCGGCAAGGAGACAAAAATGACATCGTTACTTTTGTTATTCGGCCATTAATTTAACGTTTTGAAGTCAAAAAAAAAAGAAAAAAGAAATCTACACAGTTCCTCCCAGTAGTGCAAATAGGATCACTATTGAGTAGACTGAAGAAGTCAGGTAGACCGATAGACTTGCTAAGAAGGACTAATATCACGTTGCCTCTCCCTCTGATGATGAGATTGCTGTTGTTGTTGTGGAGTAAGAGTAAACATTGGACCTTTATTAATGATAGATGGTGTTATGGATACACGCTTTCCCTTTTGTATTGGTGTTTGAAATAAAGACGAATTATCACATAATACGGTTTCCTTCTTAGTGGTATCCCCATTCTTCAGTTCTCTTTGAATATAAATAAGCTCTGCTGCTACTTCGGGTTGGAGGAAACTCTCACCTGCCAAATGTGCCTTTACAAGACGATCGATGGCCGCAATTCCCTCCGGTAAATTATCTCGAGGTGGACTTGGACTTGTAACGGCTACGACTACCTCTGCTGCCTCTGCCGCTGCTGTTGGGGAACGACAAGTCACTGTAGATCGTACATTAGAAAGTTCATCTTCCAAGTTTACAATTCGCCGGTACAAGTGCCTAATGAGAATTCGCTGTGTGAGAACATGCTGCAATAGCTCTTCTCGGCTTGCATCTCGAAGTTTCTCCTCCATAGATATATATTTCTCCTTCTTTTTTCTAGTAGATATTTGCTATTATTGTCGTTTCTCGTACGTAACTCTAAATTCCACACTCTGTAAAGCAATACATACACCAAACTGAACAAACACACAGAGAGGGGGGACCCACTCCCACCAACACCACTACTCCTATCACTAGCAGTAAGAATTTACCTGGTACATCATTAAGAAAAAAGGAAAAAAAAAAGAAGAAACAAAACTTTGTACTCATAAAGGCTAATAATTATACAAAGAGAGAGCTACGGTAATAAAAATATATATATATATATATATATATATATATATATA